CCCTTAAACTTACTTACTCCTCTGGCTAATAACTTGCTCTATGCAGAGGTTTTTTTTCATAAACACTATAGTGTGTCACAGTGTTGATATATGATGTTTTTGCTTTTTTTCTCATTTTCCCTTGTGTGGTTTTTGTTTTTCTGTTTGTCTAAAGGTAGCACAACAGTTTGCTTCATGACCTGTCTTAACTGCCCCCTCCCCCCTTCCCTGAATGTACAACACCTTGTGAATTTATTTCTGTGAAAGGCACTATATAAATAAAACTTTACTTATTACTTACTTTATCCAGTCTTGTTTGAGTAGATGGTGGGGGTCATAGAGGACAGAGTGGGGTCTTCATCCAGTCTTGTTTGGCTTGGTAACATTTTGTTTCTGTCTTTGTCCGTTTGTCAGTGTTTGGTGTTTGAAGACGCKCCTAACGGAGTGACGGCAGCCCTGGCAGCAGGGATGCAGGTGGTGATGGTTCCTGATGACAACCTGGACCCCAGCCTGACCCAGCATGCCACACTGAGACTCAGGAGCTTGGAGGACTTTGATCCACAGCTGTTTGGTCTGCCAGCGTATGACTGAACCACATCCTGAAGCAGGCAGGGCTTGGTGTTTTTCTGAGACGGGACAATCTTTCATGAACAGGTGTAAAATCCATTATTTCATCAGCAGTCATTTAATGGAGGTGAATTATATTAATTTATGATTTGATGGTTTACTGCTGGTTGTGAAAATTTGATAAATATTTATTTTAATMTTTATTTCAATAAGAGGCAGACTGGGCCACTACAAAGAAACTAAAGATCCATGTGTGGCCCTGGAGCCTCAGATTTCAGCCCCTGTGCTTTAAAGAAACAGTTGTTTTATCCTGTAATACAGACAAGTAATAAATGCAGAGTTACTGTGGTCCTCTAACATCCTTTTCTGGTGTTAATGTTCTTTAAAGACAAACAGTTTTCAGATTCTTTCAGCTCCACGTCATATCTCTAAAGCTCAGGCTGCTGCAGAAAACCAGATGAAAGCACTTCTGTGTTCGTCTTTATTCCAAAGAATTCAACCCAACATGAACCAAGAGGGATTTCACTGAGCCCAGGACTCTGAGGGTCTCAGAGTCTGGATCCTGACAGASCTCCTGTTTTCTTCAGCTGTGACTCATCAGACTGTCTGATAAAAGAGACACCTGATGGAGATGACAAGCGTGGGAGTTTCTTTACTTGACACACAAGGAAAATATCAAATACAGATGGRTTGTGGAGTTAAACAGAATCTTAATGTATGATATTTGGTTATATTCAGCTTTTAGTTTACAAGGACAACAAAGATCTGATTTACTGTAAACAACAAACACTGAAGGGTTCATCAGACAGCACCAAGAAAAGAAACTTACTGGTAAGAGCTGAATGACTTGGCTGAAAGCTGAAGGCTAAAAGTAGCTTTATTGCAGCTAAAATTAAAAGTAYTAAAAGGCTAAAGAAGCAAGAAACAAAACACTAAAAACAATGTTAGGTGAAATTATCAAAAAAAAATCCAAAAAAACCAAAGGTAGCATACAGGCTAGCTAAAAACTACAAGTCGCAAAGGTCAAGTTAAAAGGTAAAAGCTAAAAGCAGCAGAAAGCTAATCAACAGTAGGAAACAGCTATGTAAAAGCAAAAAATATCAAAACACTTACTAAAAACAATTAATGGTTAGC